CGGATACGTTTTCGTGGTGGTTCTGATTGAACACCTTGGTTAATATTAATGTCAATGTTCACTCCACTAACCGGACCACTGAAAATTGGTTCAAATCCGCCACTTATCTCTATCATCGATGATGAAGATGACGATTTTGTGAACCACGTGGAAATAGGCCTACTTGACGGCGTTGACATGTTGGCAGGTGAGAGAACGGATTTTCCGGAGCTCAGGATCCGTGAAATCTGCTTATGTTGATCTATGTTGATATGGCCAAGGTTGTTTATTGATGAAATGTTCTTGTGTCCTGAAATTTGCATAATTTGGATGGGGAGAACATTACTGTCATTGAGTTTTTGAACGAGATATTTCCGAGCACTGTGATTTTACAGATGTTTTTCAGTTTCGATTCCCGACAACTTGATTATTCTTTGCATCATGGTGCACAATTTATTGACTCCTACTAGCTGTTTCTTGAACCAAATTGGAGTATTAGGTTATGATATTTGTTTGGTTGCTGCCTAAAAAGGATCAGATGGGGCACCGTAGCCAGTCGGGCGTTTTTCACGGTAAAGTTTATAAATTGTCACAGGGCACCTGTCAGGGTTTTCAAAATTTGCCCACAGTTTCGATTTAAGAGCTCTTATATCGCGAGGATTTTCTCCGGTTCTTGTTTTTGTTTGGCGTTCAGTAAATTCCAGAAATTCGTGCCCATCCCCATCTTTTCTCAGAGTTACGTCACCCCAACACATGTCCCTATGTTCTGCGGAGACCCGGAGACCAAAATGAACGGTATTATAAAACCACAAAGTTTGTAGTAAATTGTCGGGTGTGTTTTAACCTAGTTGACCAGAATTCCACAGCATGTCTATTTCAGTGTCATTTATTGGATCACTTCTGTGTGCTAAATTGCCTTTTCCCTCGCGTTTCAACTGACGCTGTTTACTTTTCATAACCTCGCGCACTTGTGCAAACATACCGCTGCTAACAATTGTGTGACCGTAGTTGTTGCGACGTAATTGCCGATCAAAACTTGCCATCATCCCCCGTCAACTGGTTGGTTCATATTCAGAACCATCCGTTTTCCTGATACCAATAAAACATCTACACAGCAAAGGACACAGTTCGATTACTGGGTAATCGTGGATTTGTCTACTTTCATTGACTTCAGGCAACTTGAAAAATTGATACAAAAGTTTCACATCGTAGAATGTTTTGCTTCGAGTGTTTTTGTTAGATTGGTTGAGGATAAAATTTCCCACTTCATCTTCATTTACGGTAACAAATCTGTTTGTTTTGGGATTGTCAGCCCCAGGTCCAGCATCAAAGTTTGTCGTCTGCTCTGGTCGCTGTTCTGACCGGGCATGTGTAACAGTGACCTTCTCAATACGATCTCGTTCAAGTGCAACTTTAAAATCAATTCCAGAAACTTCTACACTTAACAATGTTGCAAAACCTCTTGGAACAATATTCTTTACAGTACCTGTTCCTTTGTTGTCAATTGTAACAGTGTCTACTCAGCCATTTTTGTTACTACAGTGTAGTAAATAAAAGTAGTGGCGCAGGAATATGTTCCCACGGTTTTGACTAATCACAGCAACTTTAGGTTTTATTACACGTGTGTAATACCATATTTATGACATGGCCGTATGACATAGTAAAATGGGCCAGTTATGTGATAAAATAAAATATGTTTTGCTTTTACTAACAAATATACTTGACATAAGCTCTTAATGTAATGCTAAAAAACAGCGACAAACGTCTGGTTGACACTTCAGTCTAACCACGTCTATAGCGCCGACCGGTTCGGGTACCCAGCCTTGTCGCAATTGACTTTTAGTTCTCATACAACAGCAAAACATTATTATCTTATAACAGTTTTACCAAAGCACATGCATGGTCTTCATCAACTAAGTGATGTTCACTGCTGACTGTCACATGATCTTTGATGGTCATGTGACAGAATGTTTCGGTTAAACACCCGAGGGAGTTTGATCCACTCGGTTAAATGATGACTGTCGCTACTTTATTCTTCAGCTTCTGTTACTTTGCATTTGATTTAGTGCTCCTCCGACACAATCACTCTAGGTGTTGATTCCTTTCCCTAAAGATAGTGATGTTAAGAAATTTGCTACTTTTCACGTGCTACATTTATATATGACCCTAAACGCTTGAAATGTCTCTGACCAGTTTTTTACGTTTTTATTGAGAGGTTTATGGTTTAGTGCATTTTTACGTCCAGCGTTTAGCACATATTTGACCAAAAATGTGTGGAAGATCATATAACGATTGGCAGATCCAGGCTTTGGCTTTTTGCGCGGGAATGCTATAACACAGGAAAGATCGTACGCTACCAACATCGCTTGTCCCCAATATTGATGGAAATAAACATTCATCATAGTTGCTTAATACAAACGGTCTAAAGGGTGTATGATTTCGTTGGATTTTGCTGAGCCAAGTCTTGTTGGGTACAGTGTACGATATAAGGTACAATCTATGATATAAGGGACAGTGTATGATATAAGGTACAATATATGATATAGGGGACAGTGTATGATATGGGGTACAATCTATGATATATGGGACAGTGTATGATATAAGGTACAATATATGATATAGGGGACAGTGTATGATATAGGGTACAATATATGATATAGGAGACAGTGTACGGTATAGAGCACAATCTATGATATAGGGGATAGTGTACGATATAAGGTACAATCTATGATATAGGGGACAGTGTCATTATAAGTTACAATCTATGATATAGGGTATAATCTATGATATAAGGGGCCAATGTACGATATAGGGTAAACTATATGATATAGGGGACAGTGTCATTATAAGTTACAATCTATGATATAGGGTATAATCTATGATATAGGGTCCAATGTACGATATAAGGTACAATATATGATATAGGGGACAGTGTACGACAGGGGTTTGTTACAAATGTCTGAAATACACATTGTTGGTCAGTGCAGTGTAACACACGATATTTTTGATAAATTGCATGAGCGTTAAAATTGTTTCCATTGTCGGCATTGGTGATTTCAACCGATGTACATTTTGTACGATATTGCAGACCTTGGTCTTGTTTTTGTTGTAATAAAAGTATTTTTTATTTTATTTTTTATTTTGCACATAAATTTACAATGACATTATCAAATCTCACAATGCCTAGCGATATTTCAGCAGCCGTCATGTTTATGTACATTGGATATTGTAGTTCCGGTCAGTGTTGTATTAATACGCTGAGAATTATGTCTCGTGCTGCATGGTAATTAAAGTCCCATCAACGACACAGCTTTCAAAGAGGCTTAATAGTGACAATGCCATGCAAATGTAAATATTATATGATAAAGGGGAAAGTGTACGATATAGGGTGTACGTACCATCTATGATATATGTGATAATCTATGATATAGGATACAATCTATGATATAGGGTACAATCTATGATATAGGTATAATCTATGAAATAGGGCACAATATATGATTTAGGGGACAGTGTACGATATACGGTACAATATATAATATAGGGGATAGTGTACGATATAGGGTACAATCTATGATATAGGGCACAATCTATGATATATGGCACAATCTATGATAAAGGGTACAATCTATGATATAGGGTATATGTACAATCTACGATATTGGGTTCAATCTATGATATAGTGTTCAATCTATGATATAGGGTACGATCTATGATATAGGGTACAATCTATGATATAGGGTACAATCTATGATATAGGGCACAATCTATGATATAGTGTTCAATCTATGATATAGGGTACAATCTATGATATAGGGTACAATCTATGATATAGGGTACGATCTATGATATAGGGTACAATCTATGATAGTACCCCTGTAATGGTTGTGGCCACGCTCCGAAAAACCATTGTGTACCTAAAACTGCGCCAAAACCTAGCCCACTAGCATCTGTATAAAAATGTAAGTGACAGGAAGACTCCCAGATGTCAGGTAGAAATATGGAAACACCATTGTAAGAATGGATGAATTCCTGCCATGCCCTTATATCCGCTCTAGCCTCTTTGTTGAGTCGGATATGATGATGAGGTTTGGTTAAACCTTTGGTTAGATCTATCAACCGTCTTAAAAAGGGGCGACCCGGACAGACTACAGAACAAGCAAAATTGAGCAAACCAATCAATGACTGAAGTTCCTGTAGGGTAACTTTTTGCTTTTGACAGAATTGTGCCAAAAGAAGGTGTATCTTTTCTAGTTTATCCCTAGGGAGCCTAGCCTCCATCTGAATACTATCAAGTTCGATACCCAGAAATGTGATAGTTGTACAGGGTGTAACCGTTTTACTATGTTTGATTGGAATACCTGATTTTTGGCATAATTGTAAAAACTTGTCTAAATCTGTTTGGCATTTTGTTGATTTTTTTGGTGCTATAAAGAGGAAATCATCTAAAACGTGAACAATGCCTGCTGCCTGTAATTTTGTTTCCAAGATCCAATGGAGTGCTGTGCTGAATGTCTCAAAAAGACGACATGATATGGAACAACCCATTGGTAAGGTTTTGTCATGATAAAAATATTCCCCAATTTTCATGCCTAATAAACTGTAGTCTTCAGGATGTATAGGTAAAATACGAAATGCATTTTCAATGTCTGTTTTCGCTAGCAGTGCCCCCTTACCAAAATATTTGATCAGGCCAATCGCATCTGAAATGGTTTGGTATTTGACAGAGACATCTTCAGGGGCAATATTGTCATTAATCGAAAGACCTTGCGGAAAAGAGAGGTGATGGATTAATCGAAATGCATTTGGTTCTTTTTTAGGGACGATGCCTAATGGGGAAATTTGTAAGTTTGAAAATGGGGGGCTCATAAACGGACCTGCAATTCTGCCGGCCTTAAGTTCTTGTTCAAGTTTTTGTATCAGCACTGTTGAATTATCTCGTGCTGATCTTAAATTGTCCGACTCCCTATATTGTCGTAAACCCTTGTATTGTAACCGAAAACCATATTTAAAACCATGTTCTAGAAATTGAACTTGAATTGTATTGTACCCTTCCCCCCACTGAAGTCAGCTCCCTTCCTACATTGTTGAGGACCATGCTGTCCTCCACATTTTGAGCATGCATGGAGGAACTTGCAGTTGGACCCTCTCGAGCATATTCCAGTTTTGAGGAAATCCCAACATTTTCCTTTTTGGAACATGTTGGGGTTGTTAGCAGGAAAGGGCTGTTGAGCTGTGTGTTGTGAAGCCTTTTGGACAGACTTTAATCCGATACCCAGTGCCTGCATATAGAGCTCGTTATTGAGCTCATCCCATGGCATGGCTTGGTTGACCTGAAGCCATTTTCGGAAATTATTATCGTAAAACATAGCGGCAGCAAAACCCGACCGTCTGGACAATGTTTGGATTGTGTCAGCATATTTCAAAAGACTGACAGTTTGAGTGGGGTGTGCCTGAACATAAACCGAAACGAAAATGTGGAAGGCTTGGACCCATTGTTCAGTGGTTTTAATTTGGATTTTTTTTGTATTGGGTACCAAAGATAGGTTGTTTCCCTGAACTTGAAGCTGGAATTGATCAGGGTGCGATTTGGTGGAGAGCAATGCCCCAAATTCCACAAATTCATTGCACATAATTTTGGCTTTAATTTTGGAATCTAAGTGCACGTCCAGAGGTCGGGAAATGCTACTGTAAGCAGGAGTATGGGGTAAACATGTATCTGTACCTGTAAAACCTGCAACTGCATTTTGGATGGGTGACTGGAGACTGTAGGGGTCCAGGACTGGTGGAGTTGTTTGTAGGGAAGTAGACGGCAGTAGTTGTCTGGTTGGTAGATTGGAGGCAGTAGGTGTTGCTAAAACAGATGGCTGCAAGGGCCTGGTTGAGGATTGTTGTGCGAAGGCTGCAGTAGCAGAATGAGGTAATGTCACCCATGAGGCCGGCATATTTGTAGCCTGTGACTGATTGGTAGAGGAGGATTGCTCCAAACCTGCTGTGGTACCCGAATGTGTAGGTAGGGGCATAGTTGGGGCTGTCATATTTGATGGCTGTGGCCCTTGTGGAGTGAAAGTTACACCCTTCTCCATCATGAGCCGCAGTACCTCTGCAGCTATGTCGCTGGTAGAAGGGAATGCAGGGGCCGGCCGGACAGCTGCATCATTCTGTGTTTGTTCCCCCTCAGTCTGCGTAGGAAGTGCAGGTTCAACCCCTGAAGGGTTTTGTCGTCGCCGTGTAGAGACGACCCTATGGTTTATAGCCGCCCTTCGCCTAGAACGGCGTATAGGGCCCATGGAACCTGGAATAGTAAACGTAGAAGGCAAGCTATGTTCCCATAAAATACATATGTGAAATCACAATAAATAATTGAAAACAAGAATCAGAATCCTGCACAACCTGAACCAGAAAGTGTTCAATGAGGTAGTAACCCATGTACACCTCTGACGCACAGCTGTTCAACCGGATACCTGACTATGTGAATTTCCACCGGACACCAGGTACTGCCCAACCCACAGTTGCTCAACCGGACACAAGGTCCTGCACAACACACACAGTTGTTAAACCGGACATAAGGTCCTGCACAACCTACAGTTGCTAAACCGGAACACGCTCCTGCACAACTAGCAATGCATAGTTGTTCAACCGGACGCATGATCCTGCACAACCGACACGTTTCCATTGGAAACCTGATACTGCACAAGACTTATTGTTCAAATGGATACTACATCTGGTAAAATGATTTATGCCAGACAATTTATCAGGATATCAAATCCTGCACAGTGTACAAAATTGTACCCAATGTCGATGATATTAATGTAATTAGAGCCATAACGATTCACTGTGATGTATAATGTTATATATATATTACTAAACCATGAAAATAAAACGAATTTTACTATGGTTACCCACCCTTTATATCATAAAAAGGATCAGAGTTATCAATAATATTCATTAATATAACCGAAATACTCTACAGAAGTACCGAGCCTGAGAGATTGCAACACTATAGCCTAAATGAGCCAGACAGATGCGACTATATACGTGTAGATACAATGTATCTATAAGACAACAACCCAGTTTTTGACTTGATAATGGGACAAACGAACCAAACCCGTCTGTTACCCTGACCCAGGAACACTTATGCTATAGTAGAAAACGAAACCGAATTAATTATAAACAACTTCACGTCAACTGTCACTTCGTATGGGATAAATGTACAAATGAAGTGGATACAGCCATTAATAATTAAATGAAACGTCGCATAACTGGCGGCATATGAAAACAAACCACCGTAATCAACTAATGTCGCGAAACGACTTATTTAGACGAGGAAGCGGTTAGCTGGAATGGGGTCATCCCAGGTGCAAACAGCTGGGCGGATGTAAACAAACCTCGCGCAAGCGCAACGCTATATCATAGTGCCATAGTATAACTAACCTTATAAGGAAATGTCACGAGGTTCATTCTTATCCCTGTCAGCCATTCGTATGCCCTGAAGCACCGCCCCACGTACAGAGTATTTATACTTGCGTAGCCCTGCGCGGGAAAGATGGACGCCATCTTTGTTGAGACAGTCGAATGCAGCAGTTTTCAACCCTTTGTGACGCCAATAAAAACAATCCTCAGATTCCTCACACAAACGTTTGATCTCACTGTTTACTGCATCGACACTTCTGTTGTACGTTTCAACCGCTATAGATCTGGTTTTAGCCCGATAAAAAAGTTGCATGACTCCAACTTCCCGAACAGAATAACCTACCCTCAGCCACTGTGCGATAGAACGGAAATCCCTAGCCAGACGTCCCTGTACCTCCGTAAAATTAACTGAATCCAAGTCGTTGCCTCCTATTTGTAATAGAACTACTTTTGGTTTGATATCCACGATGGATTGTGACATGGTTGATAAAATGTCGTGTACCAGACCACCCCCTCGACCAACACAGTGGACGTGGACCAAATCGCTATCAAAACCCAAATTTGTCCATGAACCAGTAAGGTCAGCTTCTAAACGTTGCACAAAACTGTGCCCTAGAACAAGTACTTTAGTTTGATCCATTTTACGTTCAAAAGTGGATTAAAAAATTATTGTACTTTAAACAACAAAACTGACCTTGACCAGTGTCCATCTTTGTGGTTGTAGGCGATGTCTGCAGCGGCTGTAGTAAGCTGATGCTGCGTAATCAGTTTATATAACCAGATCAATGCGCGTGACCTTTTCACCTCCTGACCCACAACCCCCTCCACTGTTTACAAACTTTGCGTAGGGACTATTTATATACTGAACACATAACATCAAGTGAATCAATCGATAACCGCATGTATAAAATTTATTAAAATTGTATTTTAATTGTTTATTATGGAGCAAAAATTGTAAAAAATACAACGAAGGCCAAAAAGAAAAACATTGAGGACAATATTGTAAGAATGACTGAGGTTCTGGTTGACAATATCTTTGTTGATTTCAGTGGTAAGATTTTCCAGCAGACACCAGGCATTCCCATGGGAACACACTGTGCCCCTCTACTGGCCGATTTGTTTCTGTATTCATATGAAACTAAATTTATTAATGAAATTATCAGGACTGGTAACAAAAACCTATCCAAGTCCTTCAATTTCACATTCATATGTATCGACGATGTGCTGTCTTTCAATAACAAGAAAAGCATGAATTGGCCACATTGATCGTATATTCCGTCTTTGCGTATTGCAGAGTTATCTTCTTTTTGGAGCAGGTATTGATTGTTACGTAACTTGTTTGTGAGAGTAACGTCATAAATTTTTGAGAAAACGACGCAATTTTCTCACACAAACAAAAATGACGTAACAATCAATACATGCTCCCAAGAGAAGATAATTCTGCAATACGCAAAGACGGAATATCCTCCAGACAGAGCTTACACCAAGGACACAACAGATGCATCTACCTCAACCGCATTTCTCGATCTTTACTTACAACATGATCAAGAAGGACGGCTGACTATCAAGCTGTTCGATAAGCGGGACGATTTCGACTTTCTGATCGTGAACTTTCTTGACAGGAAACGTCCCTATTTCCCCTACATAAGGTATTTACATGTAGCAGTTAATTCGGTAATAAAGAGCTAGCTCCGAATATCACGTAGAACACAGGGTTTCCAAATATGCACGTTGATGAAGACGGTCGAATTTTTTGGTCGCCATCGAGATCTCACAGAGAAATATGCTATATCTATGCGTGACATGAACGTCGATATTTTTAATTATCCTCATAAGAGTGCCTTGCGGTTTTGGATTCGGCTTATGTGACCATGGCTTGTGTCATCAATGAAGCAAAATACGCTTACCCTTCCGGAACATCTGGTCATCCTGTTATTCTTTAAGGTAGCCATGTCAATCTTTCCTTTGTTCATATTTTGACCTAGTTTTATAGATTTGGAGAACGAATTATTGTTTCGTTGACACTTTGGTATTCTCTTGTTATGTCTTGTTGCCTTGTCTATTGTACAATACCAATTTGAAAGGTGATCAAAGGAAATTCGGCAAGTCCTTTGTTGACAGCAGAAAAATAATTCCATATCAACTTTCTAGCAATTAGGGAACAGAACCGTGTTGTAGCTCGATGATCTACGATTCAAACTTATTTTTATTTCTAAACATAAAATGTATTTGTTTCAAAATACATTTGTTTCATATATATTTTATCTTGCCACATGCAGATATATAATCTTTCAACTGATGCCTGCAGTTTTTTCAATCGCGATTATTATGACAACTGGTTTGAGAACCGCTAAACCGTCTCATCATGGTTTGATTATTGTCAAATCGATCATGGCAATTTTTTAACCTCTATTCTAATCAACGTATAATATTAAAGAATTTGTAAGCTTTCGGTAGATAATCAGTCCATTTGGACACCGCTGGCTCCTCGTTAACACAGGCCATTGTGATGCATCAAACCATATAATGGTGTATATGGTCTCAATGCTGTAATTAACGCATCGGCTTCCAAGTGATGCATTGCTGTTTTGGTCGTAATAGAGTTCGATCTATTTCTAGAGTTTTCTTTTTTTCTCTCTCCAAAAATCGTGTCCTCTCGTTGTATATTGTACTGATTCATTGATAAAACGAGTTTAAATTAGGACAAACTAATATCTCCATCAACAAGAACAAAGTTTCATACAAATTGTGTTTGGTTTTATGGCTTTTGGTTTTTGCTTTTATTTTTATTTTATTCTCCAAATCGATTCCTAAAGGCAAACTCCATGTAATGAACCTCAATATTACAGAGTTGAGAGTAATAATTTATCTTACGTAGTACACCTGTGATGGTGTGTGTTAGAGTTAAGGGGGTATACTGCCATAAACTGTATAGCTGTTTTTTGTTTGTGCATGAAGAATGAGAACTGTTGAAATAATCGATTTTTTTAATATTTATTTTATCTTATTTTATTTCTATTTATTTCTTATCTTAAAGTGTAAGTTCTCTTTTACTTTTGATTCATATATGTATTCTAACTAATGCAGTAATCAATTTTCTAACCGTTATGATTCTCATTCGTTTAAGACTTCTTGATTAAACAGAATATAAGTAGACTTTTCTGTTGTATCAGCCACCTCAATGATACGACACTTCATGTGTCCCTGTCTACTTTGAAATTAATATTTTAATAAATGAAGTAAGGAAATGATATATTTTGTGTTTTTCTGATGGAGTTTTAATGACTTGCCTTTTGTGTTTTTCTGATGGAGTTTTAATGACTTGCCTTTTGTGTTTGGCCTCATTGGTTCATTGTGTTGTCTTTCCTATTATTTAGGTGTCTCGTCGGTAAGTGGTAATATTTCCCCCTTTTATTGTGGCGTTTTCTAGGTTCCTGATGCTGTTTTTCCATTTGTCTGCTTGGTTCTTGGAGTTGTCCTCCCTTTTTTGTTGGTGTCTCGTGGGTTCATAGTAATGTCTTTTCTTTTGGTTTTGGTGGCTTATCCTCAGTAACTCGTGTTGTCTGTTCCGAGTTTATCCTCGCGTATTGGTATTGAGATGAATGGGTTTTTTTCTGTTTTATTGAATATATATTTATGATTTTGAGTTTATTATTCCTGATGCAGACAATGGTTTGAACTACCTTTCCAATGTGTCGCCACTGTAGTTAACCCCCATTTGACAAGTAATGTTGATATCTAATTCGTATTTCGTGGCGTATGTCGTGGAAACTGGACGCGTGGCTTTCGCGGTATCATAGAGGATTACCGTGTGAAAAAGATGACCTGTGGTGACTGTTTGCGAAGAAGATAATCAAAAATGGATTGGAATTGTCGAATTGATTCTCATTGATATTCGAAGAAAGGTTTGTCAAAAATCAATTACATTGTAGGGAGATAACAACGAATATTAGTTTGCATTTTTTTTTTTTGTTCAAACAAAGCTTCTTTTTTTTCAGTTTATCTTCAAAATGTATTCATCGGAGAGATTTTACCTTTTTCTATGCTTCGATAGTATTTTTTAAACGTGGATTTAAAAGTGATTTAGATTAAAAGCTACATCAAACATCCCTCAAAGCTATTTGCTGCTATGTACACGTATACCATGCACGGTGATATGTGGCCCATTAGGTTTTTTTAACTTTGGAGAAGTTCTGTTGAATATTGTATAGTCGCAAGCAATTCCAACTCTTCTACGTCCAAATTCTAACAGTCTTGGTTTAACTACAGATAGTGTTAATAAAGGAAGTATTTCAATCAGTTAGTTTTGATCTATTACTGATGTAGATGATACAAACATAGAAAATAAAACGTTATTTAGGGTAACACCGATAATACATTGAAATGAATTAAAATAAAAACATCCGAAATAATAGACATCCTTTTGTTTGTAGGTACAGTTTCTCGACACGACAGAATAAGTCATCAGATGTTAAAGATTACAGCTCAAACAGTATCCCGTATCTAAACCGCTCGAAATGATATTTAATTGTCCTCTATCATCCGGTGTATATTAATCTATATTTAAAATTGCCACAGTAATAACACTATTAAAAAAGTACTAAGCATTCTCCCTCTAATTGTAGACCGATATTATTTCTTTTGACAGCAGAAAGTGTTTTGAAAAGTCTATAGTTAGACATTCCGGTGTATATTCATCTATATTAAAAATTGCCACAGTAATACCACTGTTAAAAAAAGTACTAAGCATTCTCCCTCTAATTATAGACCGATATTGTTACTTTTGACAGCAGGAAATGTTCTGGGAAAGACTATATTTAAACATGTACATGTACATTTTTTAAGTAAATACTTATATTTTATCGAAAACCTGTTGTACAAGTACCAGTCCGGTAGTATGTCAAAATATGGTACTGTTTATCAATTAATTGAAATTTATCATAGTATTTGTATATCTCTTGAAGAAGAAAACGCGTACGTGTTTAGTATTTTGCGATATTTCAAAATCATTTGATCGCGTTTGGCATAAGGGACTCTTAATTAACTTAAATCATTTGGTATATCCGAAGAATTATTAGGTTGACTAAATTATTTTATCTCTTATAGACAATAGAAAGTAATAATTTCAAATTCATTTTCTAATAATGGTGTGATAAAAGCAGGAACACTGAAGGGTCTATCCCAGGGCCATTACTATTCCTTGTTTATATTAAAGATGTTTCTGAAGTTCACAACTCGGCTTCTCGTCTCTTTGAAGACGACACAACACCAATGACTAGTTATGTCACGAGATTGAAACTGTATTAAAACAAGACCTTGAAGCTCAAAGTAAATGGGCAAAAAAGTGGCTAGTAGATTTTACTCCTAGCAAAACAGGGGTGCTTTTTATTTTAAATGTCGATAATATAGAAGAAAATTTAGAATTACAATTTAGAGTAATGATTTGTTTGCAACTTTAGGGAATGTCATAAACACTTGGGTGTGACGTTTAACTTTAAGGGTAAATGGAAAGACCATATTGAAAACATATCTAAACCAGTTATGTAAAAGTCAATCCCCTTCGCAAACTTAAACAGGCCTATAAGTTGATACATAACACAATACTTCAAATATACAAATGATTTACGTGTATATTACCAGTTCTCGCATACGCATATGATATGGGACGGCTGTATGAATCCAATCTACTAGCGAACGCCCAAAGTGAAGCCGCCCTATAATCACTGATTACCAGCTTTAGCAACTAATAATTCCTCATATCTTGAAACCGGACCTGAAACTCATTCTTATTGAAGGATACGACATAAACTCTATTTTCTATATAAAATGAA